CACTGTGATCCTGTCAGAGGAGCGGGTGCAGGAACACCTTCACCACATCCCACCAAATACATCATTCTTGAAATTCTTGAAATTTCTTTGAGAGTGTATGTTTTACAATGAAATAAAACAGTAGATTTTTTTCCTCAAAAGTACAGACTATAGCAGAACTAGTTTTATTTCTTCTATTCTGCCAAACAGACTTCCATTAAGTCTTTCCAGAACTAATATTTTTAATAGCTGCATCACCCTGGCAACTATTATTCAGCCAGAACCAAATCAAGCACTTCAATGACTTTTTCATGCACACACAGCTACAAACCCAAGTTACTAAGTCTCTCACCTTGTACTTTAATAATAATTTAAATCAGGAACTCAACAGTAAGGTCTGTTTTACTGCATCCTACCAATTACTCTCCCACAATCCAGCCTAGAGAAATGTTTAAATCTTGATTCTGTCACCTATATTCTTATCTCTCCCTCACAGCTAGTGTCAGTTCAAGATTGATAGGTTTACCTTCAACCATGTTGTTAATGTAAATAATGTTGACGGGAGACAGGAGAGAGCCAATAGGGCAGGCTTTTCAATTTCAATTTTCACTTTTCATTATTAATCCTTTTGGGTTTTGTTGTTGTTGTTGTTGTTGTTGGGGGAGATTTAATGGAGGAGAAAGAACAGATAACATACGTGAAATAATCTAAATGTCAAATTTCCTGATTTCTCTTTCCAACTCTTCACAGATTGCTCTTGTAACAGTGCAACTCAGGCAATTATCATTCCCCACTTTTTAATCAGATAGGGGCAAATGTGCTCAACACCAGTTTCACCTCATATATGCCTGAACTTTTCAACTTGTACATCATAAATGCAGTGTGAATGAACCCCTTATTTTCCATAACACTTTCCATATTTGTACATGACTTTCACAGAAATTATGAATCAGAAAAGTATAAGTGGAATTATTTTTAGGCAACCAGCAAGGTTCAAAAAGATTTTCACAGCTGCATGGTTAGCAGCAGATCCTTGACTAAAACCCAGATCTGTTTTCTTAGGATTTGAGGCTCCTCTACAAGTTGGCAGGAGAAAATTACCACAAACCAAGATGCCTTCCTATTGCTCCTGTATCCCTCCACACTAAGTACCTCTTTCCTTTGAGAGGTGCTCCCTTTTGGAGCTTGGACATCCAGGCAGTAGGTACAGAAGAGGGTACAGACTGAATGCTGGGCTTTGCAAAAGATATGAGTAAAGCAACACTATGGCTGTGGTGTGGGCCTAGAAAGATCATCCTCAGAAAGTAGGGACAGTGAGCACATGTCCAAGGACCCTGAAGTAGAGGCTGATATGCACATAGTGTGTTCCAGACACCCTGGCTGAGAGCAGATGAGATGCTTTTTTTTTCCTCCCAGAAGAGTAACAATGACAAACAATACCTATTGATACCTATCAATCACTGAGAACATTCCAACCTCTCCTAGGAGGGTCCAAGGAGCAGTTATCCGGAGAGAATCTGCGTGCACACACACTCACATGTGGTGGGAGCAGTGGGATCATTTCCCCCAAATCGTCAGTGTGGGAAATACAGCACCGGAGAATGCCCCTTTAAAGTTTCACTAAGAACCTATAATGTATTAACCTGCCCACCCTTTTCACCTGGTATTTCTCAAGCCTAAATGAGGAGGAGAAAAAGGAGATTTTTATGTAACAGATTACTAGTATTGTTTTACAGAAGATATTTTTAGAAAAACTATTTCTTTGGGCTGGGGATGTGGCTCAAGCAGTAGCACACTCGCCTGGCATGCGTGCGGCCCAGGTTCGATCCTCAGCACCACATACAAACAAAGATGTTGTGTCTGCCGAAAACTAAAAATTAAATATTAAAAAATTCTCTCTCTCTCTCTCTCTCTCTCTCTCTCTCTCTCTCTCTCTCTCTCTTTATGTCTCTCTCTCATTGTCCTTTCTCTGTCTTTTCTAGCCTTT